GCACGGAAAGCTCCAGATGTCAGGGAGATTGGGGGGGGGATGCTATGGTTTAGGGCTCCAGCTCTGAGCAGGGTGGGGGAGAAAGAGAAGGCTGGGATGTGAGGTGCTTGCAATGAATGAATGGAGTCTCCACCCCCTCCTCCCCTCCCCCCCTTGCCCTGTCCCAGAGTCGGCACATGTCATTTGAACCCTACAAATAGTTTTAAACTGCTGGGTCAGAAAACAAGGCGTTCTGTGGTGGCCTGCAGGGTTTGCCTGAAGCCCATGATGCTGATACTGATTCCAGAGTGTGATCTGGGGGTCACAGGGCAGCATCCAGAGAAGGGGGTCGGAGGCTGGGGGTGAGGGAAGGGCCCAGAGGGGCCACGGTGACCGTGGGTGGCGGGGTGAATGGCCATGCTCTGGCCAAGCCCTGCCCCACTGGCCTCTGGGGGGCGCCAAGGTGGGTGGCAGCTGGCAGGACCCAAGGAAGGCTAGACCGTGGGGGCCAGCTGGTCTGAAGTCACAGGGCTACTGTTTTTCTCAGGACAGGGGTGTCTCTCATAGAGCAGAAGGGGGGGCAGGCCCAGCATGGAGCGTATCTGCACCCTGGGACCCCCACAAGGAGGGAAGCAAAGAGCCTACAGCATAGACATAATACTTGTAGGAAACACCCGGAACAGGTGAACGTGGAGAGAAAGGACTGGAGGCTTCCAGGGGCCGGGTTACATTTATGATCTCAGTAACAGAGGGACCAGAGCCGTCCTGGCGTGGGGCTGTGAGCTGGTTCAGGATGGAGGATCTGGAGAGGCACTGACTCTTCCCAGCTCCAGGGCAGTCCTGACCACCTTTCCCAAGCCCAGCTGGGAGAAGTGGAGGACGCAGGAAGCTGGAAGGAGGGGCAATGGTGGCTGCTCCAGCCCTTCGCAAGATGTGGGGAGATCCAGCTACCCCAAAGATGCTCTGATCTCCAGCCTGGGAAGAGGAGATAGACAGGAGGTGGAGCTAGGTAAGCCGGGGGCAGCAAGTGCGCCACCGGTCCAGGAAGGGAGCCTTTGTTTCTATCATAAACTCAAACACCCAATTTTGAAACATTTCCTAATCACTTTAGCTCAGTCAGGCTTTTTTCTCTAAGTAAATAGCAAATCCTCCCTTGGCCAGGATGATAATTGATTGGGTTTCTGCTCCCTGTTCAGTGTTCTTCCTCTGGGAAACCAGCTCTCTTCCCCTCAGACACTTTGGTTGGGGTGGGGATGGGGGATGAAACTGCAACTCCTTCCACACCAGGAGTGAGCTGTGGATCTAGGTTAGCCAATCAGACCTACAAAGGCTGTCCTACAAAATGACGTATGATCAATGTAGGCAGTGAGATTCAAGCCTAGGAGGTGAGCTTGAATTTGGATTGAGAAATTCCTCCTTTAGCACAGGTGGCTAAAAAGGAACCACTCACTGTACAGTTAGCCTGAGAACACTGCCTGAACTCCTGAGATCTAGGCAGACCTGAATCCAAGATGTCCTTAGGTTTTTCAAATATTGTGTTCTGCTAAATTCCCTGGGTAGCTTCTGCATTCTGTGCTTCAAACTGAGACTCCTGCTTGATAAGATCTATAAATAAATAAAATTCCTACCTCTTTATCTATGAGAAAGAGAGGTAGACCAGAAGGTATAGCCATGAGTTCTATGACAAAAATCGCAACTACATATATGCCCACTCCATCAATCTGCAGGGCTCCAAACCCTGTTCCTATAGGCTCTTTCTCAGCTTATCTGACTTGCAAATTTGGAATTCCACACCCATGTGTCCAGATAACCCCTAGACCTCACAAACACAGCTAATTTTACCTGCCTGCTACTTTTCTCTTGCTTTCTTTTTCACTGTGAATTTTTTGAGCTAGAAATTGCCATTATCCATTCTTCCTCCCTTCTTGCCATTTAATGACACATGACTAACCCCAAATAAAGGTCACCTTTTCCAGACTCCCTTGCAGCTAAAGTGTCTTCACGTGACCCAGCTCCAGTTCTCATTCTTACTGTGTCTTCCTGTGACAGGCCTTTCCTAGCCACTTTCTTCCATCTGAATTGCCTCTCTCTCCACATTTTTTTTTTTTTCATTTATACCACGATTGAAAGTCTAGGTCTGTTTCTCTCACAGACTCTAAGCACCATGAGGGCAGGGACCGTGAACATTTCTTTTCTTCCCAACCAAGCACACTATAAGGGGACAGAATTTTACTTGATAAATACTGAGTGAACCAATCAGGACAGTCCCTAATGTGGTGAGGCTCAGGAGGCCAGGCTTTTCTACTGTTTTGTTCAGTGGTCTGGGCATGGTGGGAAGGCACAGCCTCACTTGTTGGATGTCAAGTATTTGGTTTTTGTTTGTTTGTTTGCTTGTTGGTTGTGGGGTCTGAGCTCTGGGCCTGGGAGCTGTCCCTCAGCTATTCAGCTCAAGGCTAGCGCTCTACCACTTGAGCCACAGCGCTACTTCCAGCTTTTTCTGCTTATGTGGTGCTGAAGAACCGAACCCAGGGCCTCATGCATACAAGGCAAGCACTCTACCACTGAGCCACCTTCCCAGCCCCTCAAGTATTAGTTAAAGGCAGGAAGGAAAATAGAATCAAACCAGAAATTCTGAACTGGTGGCCAGCGGCCAAATTCATCCTGCAGATATTTTTGTTTGGCCTCCAGTGTGTACCGAAAAAATGTGAACTTGTCGCCAACATTTAAAAACCAGGAGATTGCACAGACCAAAACAATCTATATTTCCAGCTCTTCTCAAAAAATCAGGAAACCTGACCATGCCACGTTCCCATGTGTGGGCAATCAGCAGGGGTTGAGAGTCGGCAACCCTCAGGGGCCTGCCAGTCCTTCGATTCCCTGGGTGATCGTAGCTGAAGGACGTAGGGGGCCATTGAACCTAAGGAGAACGGAGGCTCACAGGGAGTGACTTGTCCAAGAGAGAATGAGAGGACTTGGCTCATCTGCTTTATGTGCTCTTGGGAAATCTTCTAGAATCTTCCATCCCTACTCTAGCTCGTTTTGAGGTAAGAAAGGAGTATTTCTACTTGCCAGTTTCAATAAAAAGAGACCAAAGATATCAAGATAAAAGCTGACTTCCCCCAGTCCAGGTAGAATAGTTGGGGCTCCAAGGCTGCTGCTGGCCAGCCTTGGGGCACTGGGGTCTTGTCCCACGTACACCGGTGTGTGCCGGTAGTCCTAGCTACTTGGGAGGCTGAGGTAGGAAGATCACTGGATCACTACATAGAGGGGACCCCAGCCTGGGCAGCATAGTGGGGCCTCATCTCAAAAGTAAAGAGGGAAAGGGAAAAGGAGAGAGAGGGAAAAGATAAACAGCATTCAAGTTGCAAAAGGCATTCTAGAATATTCTAGATTCCAGCAAAGGTTTCCAGTGTGCTGCTCTGCTTGTCTCCTCTGATGTACCCATTCCTGCATACTCAGAGACCTTTATAGTTAGCTTCAGAGATTGACCACATATTGATATCTGGGGGGCACACCCCAGAAGAAGCCCCTGGCCCTTGACGGCAGGACCTTTGCAGGGAAGTTTCCTGGGTGGACACCTCTGGGGACTATTCTGTATGACTTGTTCTAGGTGCCCACAGCACTGGCTTCTCTCCAGCCTCAGTTTCCTTCTCTGCACCCAGTGCTTCCTGAGTCAACAGTCCTCAGGGCATGGTGGGTGGGGCACCCTTAAGGAGGGGCTGAGATGGGAAAGACCCAGGGCCCCCAGGGGATTAAAAGGAGGCTGGTGCTGTCCACCGGAGCTGTAGAATTTCCCAAGGCCCGCTACAGGGAGAAGCTCGGAGGAGCACCTACACCAGGGCCGGTGGGACACAGAGGGCAATGCAGCCCTGCAGCTCCTCCAGGTGACACCCCCGCTCCCACACTGAGGTCTGCTCCTGTCACCCCTCACCTGAGCCACACCCAGCCCGGGAACCCACCCACCCACCACCCACCACCCACAGGCACCGGCAGACACACGAATGACGTTTCTGTACGGTGAGATTCCTGCACCCCAACACCTCAGCATCAGCTTCCGAGCCTCACTGCACCACGACAGACAATAAATCTAGCTCACTAATCACACAGCCAACTTGTTAAAACCCCAGTAAAAAGAAAAAGAAAAAAACGGAGCAGCTGGGAAAACCATGAGCTGATGTCAAATCTGCTTTCTGCTTTTCCAGGCACTGGCAAGTCGCATGGAAGCCGCCTCAGCCCCGTGCCTCTGGGAAGATGCCCACAGACGTCTCCTGGCACCTCCCTTAGCCCCTGCACGTCCCAACAGCTGCATGGCAGACACTGGTACCCCTCAAGGGCTCTGTCAGGAAATCTACAGCACTGATGCAAAGAATGATGAGGTTTTGCTTGAACAGACCGGCTCGTTTTTTTGCTTCAAAGACTTGTGTGTATCACCAATTAGCTAGTCAATAACATTTGTCCAGAATTCTTTTTTTTTTCTCTTTATGAATACTAAGGTTTGAACTCAAAGCTGTGTGACGGTGGGTGCTAGGTGGGTGTTCTACCATGTGAACCAGTCTGCCAACATCAGAATCCCAAGCCTCTCAAGCTCTGTCCCTCAACTAGCTGGGATTAAAGGTATATGCTACCCCACCCAGCTTGCTCAGAATTCTCTTTCTAACTGGATGGCTCCCAAGGATACGTTTGCAAAGCTATTGCTAAAGCCTCCCCCTTCGTTTCAGAAATACAGAAAAATGGATTTGCTAGGGACACAGAGATAGAGAGAGGGGAAGAAGAAAAGCACCCAACCTCATTTGCTTACACACTGTCAAGTAGTTGTTGGTTGTTGGATGGGGGAGGGGGGCGGACAGTCGATGGGGAAGTGATTACAGTTTCACATGGCCAAGCCATTCTCACCCCTCCGGCAGCTCTGACTGGAACAGCCTCCTAACCAGCCCCCACAACTCCCAGGGTAAACAGATTGAATGGATAGTCCCATTGGGGGGGGAGAGAAAGAAAAGAGAGAAGCAAAATAGATTTCTTACCTTCCCGTATCTGGATGCAAACGTCCCCGTGAGTAAAGAGTGAAAAATAATTATTGTCTCGTCCAAGTCCCACACAAACACACGCTGCGACGGAGAGAGGAAGACAAGGGAGATAAATAGAGAGGCCGCCATCTGACTTCACGTCTGCAGAACTTCATTTCCTCGCGGGAAGGCAGGTCTTAAAACACATCATCTTTAAGTGATAAAACACACAGTTCCCGCACTGGTACCCCGGGAGGCGGCCTCCGGCCTCCTCTGCAAGATGAGTTCTCACAGCCAAGTGTGGGAGGCTCCAAGCAGCCCGACCCTGCCAGGAGCCGGCCAGCCTGTTCTAGCCTCTACATAAAAACTCAAAGCCAGGGGGCGGTCAGGCCAAAACCAACAAGAAAAATCACATAACTCACTCGAAAATGCGAAATACTACCAAGCCGGTCCATTACTCACCACAAGCCCAACTATTTCTGGCCATTTCTACTTTTAGCAAATCTGTCCATCACTTCCACAATTCTTTTTTTTGGCAGTCGTGGGACCCGAACTCAGGGCCTGCGCACTGTCTCTGAGTTCTCTTGCTCAAGGCTAGCTAGCATTCTACCATTTTGTGCTACAGCACCACTTCCAATTTTCTGGTGGTTAACTGGAGATAAGAGTCTCATGGATTTTCCTGCCCAGGCTGGCTTTGAATTGTGATCCTCACATCTCTGCCTCCTGAGTAGCTAGGATTACAGGTGTGAGCCATCAACACCCAGCTATTTTTTTTTCTTTCCTTTCCTTTTTTTTTTTTTTTGGTGGTACCAAAAGGTCTTGTGTTTGCTAGGCAGGCTCTCTACCACTTAAGCTGTGGTCCCTTGCTTCCTTTTTGCTTTAGTTATTTTCCAGATAGGTTCTTGGATGTTTGGTTTTATAACTGAAATGAAGTCTTCTGTGGCCTGATTTTACAGGCTGGTAAGCAGCATGAAGTGCTCATCTGGTGATTGCTGTGCGCTGTGGGCTGGGATTTCACTGTGCGCCATGCCCCATCTCAGAGCCTCACATTTGCTTTAAGAACAACCAGTCGAATGGATTCTCTGCAAGCATCTTTCCTTCATCCTCCTGCACCCATCCTGATTAAAATAACGCCATATCTCCGTTTACTCACCTACAAATCATATCTGTCTGGTTTAACTTTCTGTTTTTGTGGGTTTTTTTTCCTTTTTGGCTATCACGCCCTTTCTCATCTTAAATTAGGCACACCCCCTGTATGGAAGATGAGTATGCTGGGGGATTGATGGACTGCCCCCACACGGACAGACTATTATGGGGTTTGTGCAGAGATAGCATCCTGAGACTTTCCTTCAGTGTATTTCTGGGTCAGTTGCACTATCTTCCAGACACCAGGACGCTCTCTTTCTTGGTCTCCTTCCTTGTCTTACCTGAGTATACCTTGTGTTGCTTTTTCTGAATGGTGCATGGAGTAATCATCCTGAATTCTTGCATAACTGCCATTTTGATTTTCTTTATGTTCTCTGGATACAGAATTCCAGCTTGAAAACAACATCCTCTGGATCCCCAAAAGAATTCCTTCACTGTTTCCTGGTGTCCAGTGGTGTTTTGTGGCCCTCCCTCCTGGTAGGTTTCCTTTAAGGACTTTGTCTTTCCACTTGGAGTCCAGATTCCATTTCCGAGGAATCTCGAGCCTTTCTGCCAGCTCCTTTTGTTTTTTGTTTATTTTTGCAGTGAAGGGGCTTGAACTCATGGTCTAGGCACTGTCCCACTAGAACTCTTACCACTTTTAGCCATAGCACTACTTCTGGTTTTCTGGTGTTTAATTGGAGATAAGAGATTTACAGACTTTCTTGCCCAGGCTGGCTTTGAACCACAATCCTCAGATCTCAGCCTCCTGAGTAGCTAGGATTACAGGTATGAGCCACCCAGCTGCCTGGATATATTTTGAAAGAGGAGTTCACTTATTCCCCGGGCCAGTCTGGACGCCAACCCAATTTGCATGTCTTCTCCTTGTTGCTATGATGATAAATTCATGCATACCACTGCTCCCAACCGTTGGCTGAAATGGAGTCTCAAAAACTTGTATGTTCCAGCTGGTCTTGAATAGTGACCACTCCTCACCCTTTGATCTTCTCCTAAGTAGCTGACATTACAACTTTGAGCCACCACTCTTGGTGGAGGCCGCTTCTTCTTTCTTTCTCTTCCTCTTCTTCCTCCTCCTCCTCCTCCTCCTCCTCCTCCTCCT